AAAATCCTTAAAGTAGAATAATTACCACCCTAATAATTCTACTACATGTTACTCACAACCCCCACCCTTTTCTAAAATGACTTATTTTATATAAAAGATCTTAAAAAGAACTACAAGACCTACCTTAAGTAGCTCATATTTTCACATTATTCAAGTATAGGACAGGATAGCTGAGACAAGCCCATCTACTTGAAGTCAGTCTTTCCAGTTCCAGCTATACTGAATAAATTTTAACTTAAATATTAAAAGTAGCTAACTACCTCTAGTGACAAAAAAAAGGTTTTTTCCTCACTGAATATTTATCTAATAAAATATTTTGAAATTTATTATAAAAACTTGTAAAAACATTTTTTATTTGCCAGTATTTATATCCATTATTTCTAATTTAGTAATGAATAATATCACATTATCCATAAAAAAAAACGTGCTGTTGTTACAAAGAGTTGAAAATCTTTTAAATTGAGACATAATAATGCCTTTTAGCATCATATGAGGAACCACACTATCAGGGCTGGCTCCAAGGATGGGAAAATTAAATGCTCTTCTCTTATCAAAAATATTTATTGGTGCTTTACCATTTACTACTTTGATATCCTAATCTAAATAATTAGCATTTACATGATTATCATTACTTTTTCCTGTTTCAAGTTCTTTTCGATATATTAGACTTGATGAAAACGTCCTTCCCACAACTGGCTGCAGACAGAGAAACGCAGTAAAAGTTGAGATGTTGTAGGTGTAGCACTAAACTCTTTACCCTTAATAAATTTTCCATGACTGCTAACTGGTTTCTCATCTGCTTTTTGGATTTTGCCTGATAGATGGGATATCCCAAACGCTGTGCTATTACCACAGGCAAACTCCTTTATGACTTTTGGTTAATGACCAGAAAGTGTGAAGGTTTTTTATAGAGTTTTGAATTTTCTTATATATGCATATATATATATATATATAGCATCAATCTGCACATAATTTGACTAACATATTTTGCTACTGTACAAATTACCATTTTTAAGGTTATAAGCTGTAGCTTATGAATTTATGAGGCAGTGAATTCATTATTTGATAAAAATTAAACTTTAAAAAACATTCTCACCCTTGACACCTGCAGGTTAATAATTTTTCAGTTTAAAAAATTTTCACTCATTAAGTAAGAAAAAATAATTAATGTTAACAGATGTGTTCATACTAATATACACTTAATGCTAAATTAAAATGTGAATATCTTTCCTTGGAAAGTATATTAAGCAAAACAGTTACCTAATTTTTACAAAATGTTGGCATTACAATTTAGTTATGTATTCAATAAGACTACACCACATAGAGAAGACAATTAGAACAGGTTTTTTAAAACTAATATTCAATGTAATAATTATTTCTTTCTTGAATTTTACACAAAATTACGCAAGTGCTATCTGTGTTAAACAACCCTAAATTTGAGGTGACTAACTTATCAACATCACCAACTTGGTTAATTTTTACTAATGAATATTTGGTGACAGGTTTCAATTCCATGAACAGCAAATTGAAACTTGAGCACCCTAACCACCAGTCCTTGCCAGTCCCTAATTAGTATAATAATGTTAACTACATAAGTAACTAGTCAGAGAAATATTTCTTCTTTAGTTTTGTATAGGATTCTTGTTAGATGTAATCAATCAGTAAAATGTTTTTCTGTAAATGTGGTATGTGGGCATTTCTAGTATCTTTATTGCTATAAGAGTTTTACATTTTTTGTTTATTTATCTTATATGGAGTTTAATATACACACCTAGTCCAAAATGTCATTGATATTGCCTTGTTCACTTTAGTAGATAATGTCCCTTCTGCCCAACGTGTATTATTTAGTTGTTGTGATTTCCTAAAATACCAAATTACAATCAAAATCACAGTAATTTCTTAATGAAATATCATTTAAAACTGAAGGTTATTTACTTAAAAAACCATAAAATAAAACACCAAATATCAGCTCTCAAAGAATTGTGGAATAATTCACAAGTTAACATAGTAAAAGCTTATAAAGAGGATAAAACCTTAACTATGGAAACAGAAGTTTACAAAAACTTATTATAAAACACCTATATAATTCAACCAAATTCAAAGAACTATTCAAAAACCTTAATGAATGTTATGGATGACAACTGAATAGCCTACTTTTAAAGTTAAAAAAGAACAATGATATCACATAAGACATGTACAACAGCTTAGGAGTCACCAATGCCCCTTGTTTGTGTGGCGTTTCAAAAATTCACAAAAACCCAATACACATCTGCTCCTTCCAACTTATGGCAGCTATAATCATGACTTTGCATGATTCCTAGATTTTCTGATGAATATTGCATGACAACAATAAATACAAGGTTAAAGGTGTTCTAGGTTTCTGAAGTATTCTCTACAATTTTAACAATCATAACAAAATGTACAATTTTGATGTTGTATCCATGTATACAATGATACCAAAAGAAGAAGCAACAAATTTTGAAAGACTTGTTCCACATTGCACTAAAAATATATCTTACCTGTCAATGTAAAACTTATGAACAATGTCACCTGGATTATGTGAATTGTTTATCAACTAATAGACAGTCATGCTATTAACATAGCTCTACACCCTACCATGCACTGGTTTAGATATTCCATGATCTATTTTGTGGATTTGAAGACAACAACAACCAACAGTCATTTCTATAACATGTAAACAACATTCACTTTAACATTAAATCCATTCATGAAGAAGAGAATAAAAACCAGGTTTTAAATTATATGAACATAACATTAGAATGAAATTCCAATGGTTTTAACATGAAAATCTTCCACAAGCCTGGTAATGATAACAACTATATAAAGTGGGACTCAGTCCATTCAACTAAGAAATAATTGGCACATTATCATACAATTACAACATACAATTACAAACAATTACAACATACAATTACAACATACAATTACAACATACAATTACAACATACAATTAC